CACACACACACACACACGGATACTTACGCCCTCGGTCTCGGGAAGCCCATGGATAACAGCACGTCCAGGTTGGAGCCAGATTTCACCGAACCCGACCGGTTCTGCCGGAGCCTCCGCGGGATGATTTTACTGTACAGGTCTTCTTTGGCAGCCATGGTCGACAGTCCGCGTCCGGCAAGTCCGAGAGCGTCGGCCGGGTCCGCATGAGTGGAGAGAGAGGGAGAGGTGAGGACGACTGAAGCCGAGCGGGGAGCAGCGCTTTGCGGCCAGAGAGGCAGACAGAGCCCCGCTACTCCGCCCACCGGAGGAAGCAGCGAATCAGATCCGCTCTCTGGATGTTTACAGCCGAATACAGGACACAATATACGGGGGCTAAAGGGTCACGCTATGGGGCTTTATTTTAACCAGTCTGAACTATAGGTGTGTGTGTGTTTTTATTATTGACAAAATACAATATACTAAGAAATCAGGTTAAACATGTGCAGCACATGCAGAACGTTGGGTTGTAAAAAACACACACAAATAATAATGAAAAAAAGATTAAAGGATAATTACATTACAAAAACTAAACGATTAAAATAAATGTTATATATATATATATATATGTAAAGAAAATAATATATATACATACAAATAAAAATTAAAGGACAATTACATAACAAAAACAAATCAGGTTTTATTTTTTTGATGTTCAGTAAACAAAGAGTAAAATACAAAGAGAAAGAGAAATGTGTGTAATATGTGTTAAACAGTATAAATGACAAAACACTAAGATCTATATACAGTTGCTTTTAATTTGTACAAAATTACATTAATTATATAAAGATAATATCTATAGAGCCGTGATACAACAATGCATCATGTATAGAAAATAAATGACTTGATTTTTACATTGTTTTGGTTGATACATTAAAACACAAAGTCATTTAGATTTCAGTCCTGGTTGATTTACAGTTTGTATTGAAGTATTTCTGTGTGTATAAAAATGGAGAAAAAACACAGCATTTATTTTTCCAGGAATGTCACCACAGTCACCAACTTCTTAATAACTGCAAACAGAACGGTTTGTGTAGCTCCATTTTGTGTGTGTATGCAAAAGGGAGAAAAACTGCAATCTAGCATTTTTTTTTCCAGGAATATCCTCCAGTTCATAATACTGCAAATATATAAATACAACAATACTTTCATCAGTGACCGGTAGACTCACTCACCATCGCGTTGCCTCCTTCAGCCATAGAATGTGACTAAACACACATTATTTAAAAATAAAATCAAAAAGAACATAAATGTAATGAATCTCATGTAATCTGGAACAAAGAATTGACATTCATCTGATCAATCTGATCATTTATCACACAAACTATCACCGAATAGTTTTAAACTCATTCATGGCTTTTCATTAATACTCCTCACAACTGATCACTGATCTATGAGACGACGTGGCGCTGTGGCTCAGCGTCCGCCGACGGGGGTCGTACGGTGTGATGACACAGAAGACACAGCCGGCCTCCTGGAAGGCCTGTCTCATCTCCACCTGGTGGACCAACACAGAACACCGGACCTCAACAACCAGGGACGGTCAATCACTGATACAGACAATAAATGAGAGAAGAAGGTAGTAACCCGGTCCAATGACACATTATGGAGCGCCATTGTAACGGCTTGAGACCATAATGTAAACCCAACTATTTAATCTGATTATATAGTATTTAAGTTTACTTAGTTATTATACTTAAGAACATGAGATTCATTACATTTATGTTCCTTATGTTCTTTTACTTGTCGTTTGTTTCTGGTGCCTCTTGTTGTTGTTGCTCTCTCCACTTTCTTTCTGTAATATTGCGGATGTCTCCGCTGTGGGACGTATGAAGGATATTCTTATCTTTTTTATCTGAATCTTAAGGTTGTCAAAGAGTTGGGAAATCCCTGAGTTGGGTCCTGTTACAGCTTATTTCATATCATAAGATAAAAATGTTTTAGTTTTTTCCTAAATGCAGTCAGGAAATATGTTTCTGTCAAACCAAAAATCCTAAACGTCATCTTAAACTAAGTAATGGGGTATTTTTATTTAACTGGTTAAACTCATCTATCCGCTTCAAATTCTGCAAAAGATGTTCCAGGAAACAACAGACGACAAGTCATCCGTGTTCATTAAACAGGTGGAAACACATTCCAACTGCTTTGTTTTTCTTCCATGTCAAGAAAATGACTTTTGTTCTCTGATCATTGAAACGAGAACTTTATTGGTTTTAAGGATGGAAAAGTTACGTAAAGATCTGCGATAACCAAAGTATCCGGTGGAGTATCTTTCAGATGATGCAGTACATTGAGCTGCACGGAAAACACAAAGAGACAAAGTCCATCTTTCATTTAGGAGAGAACCTTCAATTTAAAATTTAACTAACAAAGTCAACATGAATACAAAAAGAAACTGAAGACAACAAACCAGTCGTACCAGTCTGGCTTCGTCCAGACACAGACCCACCACGGCCCCCCCGCTGCCCGGCAACTTCACCGCCGAGCCAAACTGCAAAAAAGCAACAAGAAGTTAATGAATGCATGAACAGAAAACACACTCCTGCAGGCGTGAACGGACAGAGGAGTGAATACTGGTAGCAGGTAGTGAGACCTTTACAGAGAGAGGTACTTCTCCATAGTCTGTGTATTACTACAGTAGATGGAGTATTTTAAAAGAATCAATATCAGTTTAAGTGTGCGCTATATTTAGAATATTTTCACTGCTTATCTAAGCTCTCTGTAAACCCACCAGACTGTGTTCTACCTCTCAGAACACAGGAGTTGTTGTTCTACCGCTGCCTCCACCTGTTAGTGTGTTTATGTTACTGTTTGACTATTGGTGAATCTGAACTAACCAAAGTCACACAATAACACAAACAAACAAACCTAATCGAGGCAGCGGTTCCCCCACCGACCTGAGTGTTCCGAGATGTAAAATCACTGACTCTTCAATGGTGTCTGGTGTCTTTGGTGAGAGCATAGATGGATTCATCGGCTTCAGTTCCCTCTAAAACATAGACTGTAAAGCCGTCTCATGGAAAAGTAAACCAGTGAAAATATTGTATATATAGCATGAACTTAAACTGGCATCGATTGTTTTAGGAGTCTAAAATACGTCCACAGCAGCACATTACTTTGCTGTAGGGCTGGAACTCCATCTACTGTAGTAAAACACTGACTACAGAGAAGAACCTCATACAAACACACTTCAGAAGACTCCGAACTCTCCCTTTAAGTACCTACCTGCCTCGCCAGCTGAACCATCTTGAGGTTCCCAGGACCCAGACACTTGTCCGTGTAGACGGACCTGTGGGGAAACGTGGTTACTTCAGCTGTGAGTGTGATACGAGCGCCTCGCATCTACAGAAACATATGTGGTGTTTACCTCCGCAGCTCAAAGTTCTGGTCCATCAGTTGTGCCAGCCGGTGCCAGTCTTTGTCCTGGAGAGCCGTCCTGAGGGGAGGACATTTTCAAAATCAGAGCTCAAACTTTAACATCTATTGTTGGCCATCAAACCATCCACTTCCTGGTTCTCAAACCAACCTGGCTTGATCAGTGAGCTCTGCAAAAGTCTTCATGGCCTCGACTATCAGAGGTTCTCCTGCAGAGACACAGTCGTTCAACAAATGAACCAACATGTCTTTATTTGTTTGAGTCCTTAAAGGAACAGAAAGATGGAAATACACACATGGTCAAGCATGTTATTCTAAAAAAAGAAAAATGACACAAAGAACTTTTTGTCTGTTTATGGAAAACTGAAATGTGTTGCTCTTCATATATCAAATATCAAACGTCACACAATAAACACAAACTGACTAACCGATGGAGGCAGCGGTAGTCGGGTGGTTTTGACGAGACCAAAGATAACGTTAAAGTTACGTGTAGGAAACACAAGCTGTATCGCTGTCTGACTGCACAGTGAAACATCGAAGATGTTCTAAATACAGACACTTAACCTGGTATGTTTTATTAAATATCTACTTTTGTTTTCGGTGTCTGGAATACGTTGTGCCGCTGTGCCGGTACTCGTGTCTGCTTCTTGAAACTGGACGTATTTTAGACATGTCTAAAAAACATCAGTTTAAGTGTACGCTATATTTAAAACACTTTCACCTCTTTATCTTGTTGTCAGACAGGCCTTTATGACGGGACACTATGCGCTACGCTCTCTTCAAAGCTACCAGACTCCATTCACAAAAACAGTGATTTAACCTCTCAGAACACAGGAGCTGCTCGTCTACCGCTGCCTCCTTCGGTTAGTCTGTTTGAGTTAATGTGTGACTTCTGGTGAATGCAAACTAACCAAAGTCACACAATAACACAAACAGACTAACCGATGGAGGCAGCAGTAGACCAGCAGCTCCAGTGTTCTGAGAGGTTAAATTACTGTTTTTATCAAAGGAGTCTGGTAGCTTTGGTGAGAGCGCAGATAACGGCGTTAGTTCCCTGTTAGAAACATAGACTGTATAGATGTCTCATGGCAAAAAAATCCTAATGTAGCGTTCACTTAAACTGGTATAGATTCTTCTACGTCGACCTTTGTTTTAGTCTGAAATACGTTTTGCCGACGTCTTCATCCACAGTGTTACATCACTTTGCTGCTGTGCTGATCTGTTTCTCCAACTTGGAACTTATCCATCTTACCTACAACCGTCTGCTGTAGGTAATATTAATAAAGTACCTCATAGTACCCCCCCCCTCTATCCCTTTAACCCGAGGACGCACCACCGAGCCAGCGCTGCCTGATGTTGCTGTGGATGCGTCCGGAGTCACTGGGGTCGCTCAGGTAAGCCAGCCAGAAGGGTGGCAGCCCACTCATGTCCATAGAAACATAGCTCCCTATGAAGCGGAAACACACACACACACACATACATACACACACACACACACACACACACACACACACACACACCCACACACACATTAGGAATCAAATGTATTTGTATGATCTACTTAGCATCGACAGACTACAGTGGACTTCAGTACCGTAGCCCTGCTCCTCCATCAGCTTCTTGCTGAAGTCCATGTAGACTAAACCTTCATAGACCTGCAGAAGTAAAGAGGGAACAGCTTGATTTCTACTGGAGGTGTTTGAATTGTAGGAGAACGTAGAAGAGACGATCCTGACCTGAACAACTCGGTCCTGAAGACCAGCTGTGATGAAAAGCTCCTCGGTCTCCACGTTGAGGATGAAGTTGGCTCGAATCGACTTTGGGAGATCCTGCAGAAGAAAAGATAAATACATGAATATGTAGATGTGTTTTTATATTTCTGTCTTGATTTAATACAGAGGCCTGTATATCCTGGATATACCTTCACAGATATGTATTCATATGATATTATGTGTAGAATTAGATTCTAGTGGCGGCTGCAGTGAAATGAGAGGTTTTCTAATCTAAAGGGACTCTGGTGCTCAGAAACACGACCGCTTTAGTCCAGAGGGGGCGACAGAACCAACACTAAATGAAAAGTTCCTCGTAGTAAAAAGCAGAGTGGAAACACAAAAATTACAAACAAAAAAAAAGTTGAAATATTGCAAAAAAGTTTTACGCTCGACTCACTTAAACCGATAAAAAACAAAAGAAACAAGGTGCTATGGAAACATGCAAATGAATCACTGGAATCATGCGACTTCTTGTTTTATTAACCAATTAATATATCTATGATGTCATATTTATTTATTCTGAACTTAATTTGGTGTACATTCTTTATTCTCGACGTGTCAATCATTAGTAAATCACTTTGAAAGGTAATAAATAAATATAAACTAATCCGTACGTCGTCTGTGATGTTGTAGAACTTCATCAGACACTTCAGCGTCGCTGAGACGATGGCGCTGTGAAGAGAAACGCATGAACTCGTAGATAATTACATTCCTGAAAGCTTTAACAGATCAGAGAACAAGCAGAAATGTTTACCTGCTTCCAGCGAGACCCTGCATTTAAAAAACACAAATCATTTCACGGTGACACGACATTCTCTCACTGAACACTGAACACTGAATCTCCTCCAGAACACAACTCTAACGGTTCCTCACCACTTGACGAGGAATGTTGGTGTCGTACTTCAGTGTGAAGTTCTGCTTCGTCAAAGCGATGCTGCAGAAAAAAGACACAAGAGGAGTTTAAAAAGCAGTGAAAGTGTTTTTAAAGCAAATCTTTCACTTTTCTTTCAAGCAGAACGGCTTCTTTTCTCTTCTTTGTTTTAAACCTGAGATTTAGTTTGAAACAAACATTGATGTGGAGTCTTGTTCCAGGTGACCTGACTTTATTCGTAATAAAATAATAGAACACAGGAAGCTTGAATGAATATCATCAACCTGTGAGGAAACACCAGAGGAAGGTTTGGACTAAAACGGTTGAGTAGAATAAATAATACGGCCGGACGAGCACCGATGGATCCAGACTCCTACTCAGACAACAAGCATTTTAAAAGTTGTTTGGTTGTCGTCTTGTTCACAGACCGGACAAAGAGTGAAGTCAGACTTTTTACAAATCATCATCATTATGTAGTTATTTCTGCTTCCTTTTTATTTGTTTATTGCAATTAAATTACAGCACAAATGTTGACTTAGTGTTCATACAGCTGCGGTAAACCAGCTGACGTGAGTCTTGTTAGACACGGTGAATACTCCTCCTGATGATGTGATGAACCAGACGGCGTTTAGTTTCCACGATATCTGGGATTTATATAACGTGAACAAAGCAGCACCAGAGGTTATTCAACCCGAGAACATCGAGGGTCTTGTTGTGACCTTGGAACTTGTCTCACCCTTGTTTGGAGCAGAACTGGTAGAACTTCTTACAGGTGGCCTGCAGCAGCCTCAGACCTCCCAGGTACCTACAGAGGAGGAGGAAGGTTTAGAAGAACCCTGAACGTGACCCGGTCTGCAGGATTTTAACTGGTCCATGTTCTCACCCTTCCTTCCTGCTGATGCAGAACAGATCCTGCAAGCTTCCGAACTCGGTGGGGTCGTTGAGCGGATGAGGAACCAAAACCTGCAGAGTCACAGAACATCCACGTGACGTTTTGCACAATATATTCTTAATTAAAAAGGTGTTTCAGCTGGTGAGTGTTACCAAAGTCTGGCTCTCCACCAGAGTGACCTCGGCCCAGAAGTTACAGATGGACATGGCGATGGTTTTGCCGTTGAAGCCGTCTGAGGGGTTCCCCATTAATCCAACCCTGAGAGGAACCAATCAGTCTGTCAGCTTGTGTTTCAACATTTCTAAGAATTCTAACCACTTCATCTCTGAGTCCAGGTGTTCCTGAGACATCACGTTCACAAGAACGGGCGGACGGATTGAAAACAACCCCGGTAATCTGAGTCCGTTCACACAGAGTACTTTGTGTCGGTGTTTTCTTACCTGGCGAACGATCTGCATGTGATTGGTTTAGCCGGAGTGTCTTGTTGCTTGGTGGAGTAGTGGGTGAGCCACCTGGTGTAGTCTGACAGGCCCTGTGACGTCAACAGGAAGCACGTTATTAGAGGAAATGTAACGTAAAAGAACTACTAAAAATACACTCATGATCTGCAACAGAGAAACAGCATCAGTCGCCGTCTTGTTTTTTTGCAGCCAGTGAACAGGAAGTGACCATATCTGGACTGAGGAGGAGTGACGTAGAGACGTCGTATACGTCTCTGGTAGAGACCTGTCAATCACCGTGTAGACCCGCCCTAAAGCATCCCCTGCTTTATGGTCTGTTCGACTCTAAATGGACCATAATTTAATTTAAATTGCATTGTGGGTAATGTAGGTAGATGAACTGAGGTATGGATACAAACCACTTGTCCAATGAGCTGGAAGCCAGTAGGAAGCTTCATCCCAAACACATCGAGTCGCTTCTCGTTGATGAGCCACTCCTGAAGAGAACGGAGCCAAAAAGATCATCAAGTTATTAATTCATGATAATGAACTGATGTTGTATGTAAAGTGATTATAGTCTAACTTTTGATCTTAAGAGTTTTGTCACAATGAAAAGCAAAGTCAAAGCCACAAACTTATTTTGAAATCATGTACCGATTAAAATGAAATCACATCACAGGGAAGAATTAGAATAAATCCTCCTCATTGAACACAATGGTTTGACGAAGACGTTAAACAGCAGATCTAGTTGGTTTAGTTTGTAAAGGGAAGTTGTGTAACATTAAAGTTACTGCAAGGAACTTCTATTTCCTGTTGATTCTGTCGCCCCCTGTGGACTAAAGTAATAGTGTCTCTGAGCACCAGACTCCCTTTAGAAAACCTCTCATTCTACTGCAGCAGGGTCTGACAGTCTGCCCCTCTCAGTCCTGGTTCTGGTTCTGGTTCTCCCGTGCCTCCCTTCCCTCCAGCGGGTCCAGCAATACATCCTGGGTCTCCAGCAGAGAGGATAAGCTCTGTTCCTGGAGGAGGAGGAGGAGGAGGAGGAGGAGGAGGAGATGCTGCTGCTGCCGGGAGCTGAGCTCTCCTCCTCCCTCCGGAGCTCCGACTGCAGGTCCAAGGATGCAGGTGAAGCCGGACCTGGGTCTGTCCGCGGTGGACCAGTCTCTGCTGGAGGATCTGGGTCTGTCCACAGTGGACCGGTCTCTGCTGGAGGATCTGGGTCTGTCCGCGGTGGACCGGTCTCTGCTGGAGTCTGAGCTGAAGGAGGTTCTGGTGAACCTGCATGAGTTCATCTGGTTTCACCAGAATCCGACCCGGTGGCTCCGATGACGAGCTTTAAGAATAACTCTATAGAAACAGACCATCTTCTCTCTGATAGTCTCTTTACTGATGGAGGTCTGATAGAGGATCAGGACTACACTGAGACTGGTTCATAGAGGATCAGGAGTACACTGAGACTGGTTCAGGACCAGTTAAAAGTTCCTCACAGTAACTTTAACGGTAATTAATCTGCTCAAATAACACTTATTTCAGCACTTACGAACCCAGAATCGTCCTAAGGACCTGTCTGTTGCTTGAGGCTGCAGGTTGAGGAAGTCAGACAGGTCGGACAGAGTGTCTCTCTGGATGCAGTAAAACACAACGCTGGCCAGTCGGGATGATGTCAGTCCTTCCTGCGGTTTCTCCAAGAAGCGAGTTATCCTGATTCACAAAATTACAATACATTACAATCACATTTGCAACACAGTTTTGAAGCCTCAAGTTCGGCCATCTTGTTTTTTTGCAACCAGTGAACAGGAAGTGACCATATCTGGA